ACCACTGACATGGTATTTTCCCTCAGACAGTTGCAGGAGAAATGCAAGGAACAACAACAGCCACTGTTTGTGGCCTTCATAGATCTCACAAAGGCCTTTGATCTGGTTAGCAGGAATGGCCTTTTAAAAATCCTTCCCAAGATTGCATGTCCACCTCGACTCCTTAACATCATCAAGTCCTTCCATGAGGAAATAAAGGGCACTGTAGTATTTGATGGCTCAACATCAGATCTCTTTGACATCTGAAGCGGAGTGAAACAGGGCTGTGTCCTCGCGCTGACTCTGTTTGGGATCTTTTTAGCTGTCATGCTGAAGCATGCCTTTGGAACTGCAACAGAAGGTGTCTATGGACTAGATCAGATGGAAAGCTCTTTAATCTCTCTAGATTGAGAGGGAAGACCAAAGTCCAACTAAAATGCATGCGGGACTTCCTCTTCGCTGATGATGCAGCCATTGTTGCCCACTCTGCTGAAGACCTCCAACAACTCTTGAATCACTTTAGCAAGGCCTGCCAAGACTTTGGACTAACAATCAGCTGGAAGAAAACACAAGTCATGGGCCAGGGTGTGGGCTCACCTTCCTCTATTACCATCTCCACACAAGAATTGGAGACTGTTCATGACTTTGTGTACCTTGGCTCAACGATCACTGACACTCTGTCCCTAGACATCGAGCTGGATAAACGCATTGGCAAAGCAGCCACCATGCTCTCTAGACTCACAAAGAGAGTATGGCTTAATAAGAAGCTGACGGCATATACCAAGATTCAGGTCTATAGAGCCTGTGTCCTGAACACACTCCTGTACTGCAGTGAGTCCTGGACCCTTCGTGCACGGCAGGAGAGGAAGCTGACCACATTCCATATGCGTTGTCTCCGACACATTTTTGGTATCACCTGGCAGGTCAAAGTTCCAAATAGAGTAGTCCTAGAACGAGCTGGAATTTTTAGCATATATACATTACTGAAACAGCACCATCTACGTTGGCTTGGGCATGTCGTGAGAATGGCTGAAGGTCGGATTCCAAAGGATCTCCTGTATGGAGAATTAGTGCAGGGAAATTGCCCCAGAGGGAGACCACTGCTGCAATACAAGGATATCTGCAAGCGGGATCTGAGGGCCTTAGGAATGGACCTCAACAGATGGGAAACATTGCCATCTGAGCATTCAGCCTGGAGGCAGGTGGTGCATCATGGCCTCTCCCATTTTGAGGAAACACTTGTCCAGCAGGTCGAGGCAAAGAGGCAGTCCTGAAATCAGCAAAATCAGGGAGCTAGACAGGGGACCGATTGTATTTGTCTTCAGCGTGGAAGGGATTGTCACTCTCGAATTAACCTTCTCAGCCACTCTAGATGCTGTTCCAAGACCTCTATTCAGAGCATGTTACCATAGTCTCTCGAGACTGAAGGATACCTATTCTAAATCTGTGTACTTTATTTTACACAGTAAGCTAATAAAAATCATTGCAATAAAGTAGAATTTCTAGATATACTTGCAAGGCAATGGTGTGATCAGATAACACCGAGTTACATTCTTCACTGTTTGTGTGTTTGAGGTGGATCTGCTTGGAATGCCAGGCCAGTGAAGGGAGGGGTGTGTTAGAGGCTCAGGTTCATCTCAAAGTCAGAGGAAGGCAACCACAAACTGTTGCTGGCCCCAACAGACATTTATCTAGCATCCTTCTCCAACTTGCCCCGTTCCATGTATATTAGACTACAACTCCCATCTCCAGCCAATGGTAGTTGGGGAGTATGGTAGCTGCAGTCTGATATAGCTAGATGGCCCTAACAGGGGAATTCTGGATGGCTGCCATAGAGACAGTGTCACTTGTCACCTCCCTTCAGAGCAAAAGGCGTCTTAGCCCTATATAACAAGCACAAACGGACAATTGTCAATCATACCAGCCTTTCGGAAACAGCTGCCCTCAATATATATTGGATGACAGCTCCTTTCCTCCCTGACAATTTTTCAGGCTCTCCAGGAGTAATAGTAGGGCAGTTCAGCACACCTGGAGAGTGTCATGTTGAAGAATACTGACAGTTCTTGTGTTCTTGTGGTTATGGTGTCAGAACAAGACTAGGAGGACCAAGGTTCAAAGGAAAGACTGAAAAAGCTACTTTTCAGGACCGCCACTGCCAGAATATTCCAACAAGCATGGCCACTGCCCATGCTGGCTAAGAGGTTTGGGAGCTGTACCACAAAAAGTAATTTTTTCAAACTCAGGTAGGGTCAAATCATGAAGCTCATTTGGTGATCTTAGCAGCACTGTACCCCAGTTAAGCTACTAATTCCTTACCTACTTACCTGTTGCTGTGAGGATAAACTGGAGTACTGTGAACTTCGTCTTGCACAGAGCCAGGGCAAATCTAAAGGAGAAAATGTTGATCCCTCCTACATTTCACACATGAAGTCAAGTGGACTGATAGTTAACTTTTACCTCAGTACTGGTTCTGGAAGAGTATCTTCCACTGCACCTAAGAGCAGGAGACCACTTGCAAGTTGGAGGACAGGCTGTGAAGGCGGGCACTCTGAGAAGAGTGGCTGACCAGGGCACTTAGAATGAACAACCAACAGGACTGTTGTGGCTGTCCCTCAGCATCTGGCATCTGAGCCAATGGCCTCACCAAGAGTGACTGGAAGGCTAGTACTGTTCTTAGCATCCTTGTTCTACTTGTTTGGTGGTATACTTCAGAGATGTACTGAAACCAAGGTTCCTAAATTTGGCCCTATTTGACAATAATTCTTAGGAGCTGGGGCTTTTGCAAAGTCCAACAACAGCTGTGTAAGAAATGGACGAGGAATTACA